TTTAGTAGTGTCCACTTCTTTTCATTTGATTTGACATTGACACATTGTTGCATTGTACTGTATTTTTCTCTATATCAATGGCCTTCATCAGCACTCCACCTTTATCTTCTCTCGGTCTCAAGACCACAGTTAGTCAGACTCTACAGAACTAAGGGAATGAGTGTAACCTAGTCAGTGGGAAGAGGAGTTCACACCAGGAATTCTTCAGCTTTGGAAGCTTCCTTAATGAAGCCCTGTGCAGGCATAGAGCCCATGTGTGCAAAAGCACAGGTGACCACTTGAGGAACTACAGTTTCAAGTAAGCCACCTGTCTTTGCTGCCCTGCCATCTTGCCTTCTGCTTGTCATAACCAATTGGGGATGGCATGGGAAAGTGTTCCTCTTTCTTTCTTTTTTTAAAAGAAGTCATGCGCAATAAGTGCCCTGTTTAGCCAAGCTGACTCGCATGCATGGGTGGGCCATACATCTACTGTATGTGGGTGTTTAAAACAGGGAAAGGAACCTACTTACCTACCTGATAAACTGGGTGGGCGTAGTGGAGAACAGAGCGCGACCAAAGTTGCTGCAGTATTTGCCCCACTCCCAATTTACCAAGCAGTTCTGGGAAGAAAAGGAATGCTGTTTTTTCCTTCTTTGTCATAAAGAAAAACGTTGCAGTGGGACAGGCACACCTCCCTCTACCGCCTGCATGCGTCAATGGTTTGGTCCAGTAGTGTGTGTGACTGCTGCTGTGGCATCACAGAACCCTGTTTTAAGTAAAGGAAGAAAATGCGAGAACGGAATCCCTTCTTCACACTGCCTGGTAACTTGAGGGGTGGGGAGAGAGTGAACAACCAGAATAGCATTGGAAGGGAAAGAAGTTGGGCCAAAGGCAAAGGGCTGGCTGGGTAAAACACGCCTACAGCTATGGAGGATTTCAAGCCCTCTTGCAATTAGTTGTGCCACTGGGCTGCTTTCAGGATCTTTTTGTGCCACATGAGCAGATGAGACCCAACTCCTTTTATTAACAGCTGTTATTATCTGCGTGGACTTTTCCATACAGCATTTGAGTGAAAATTTATTTACATAAACACATTACCTTGATAAAATGGTGCTGTGGCATACAGCTACTAAACCTGAAAAGCATGAAGAATGAGGAAATGATAACTTAGTGTAAGTAGATTTATTATTATTATTATTTTATTTTATTTTAAACTTATTTTAATTGTTAAATTATTTGTATTTATAGGATTTTAAATTTTTAGCCGAGATGCACCGGGGGATTTTTAAATAAATTTTTATTGTTATATTGTTATTTATTTATGTATTTTGTTTCTGTTGTGAGTTGCCCCGAGGCTTCGTTGCAATAGGGGCAGCATAAAAATGTTCTAAATGAATGAATGAATGAATGACTAGGACACTTTTTGAGAAATCTGTGCGTCATTTATAACCAGTGTGTGGTTTTCAAAAATTCTGTCCACGTAAGCCTTTATAAAGATGAAACCACAGGACAAGAGGGAAGTTGGCATTTAATTTCTTACCATCGCATTCCACTGAGATGCTCCGTACTGCACTACTATAACATCTGCTGCCATTTGTTACCACCATGTGATGTAAGAGTTTGACCATTTAAGATGATACATATAAGATGAAAAAATATGAATAACCAGCAACTGCTCCAGCATGCTCATGAACTGTTTTCATAACAGAGTTAGGTATTTCTGTCTCTGTGAAGGGCAATCATATTGACTTGGATTATGTATACTATGCCCACAATTTTCTTACTTGAATCTTTGCCTCCGGAGTAATCCTGTATTGTTTTATGGCAAAACAAATTACCACTAATGTTCATCTGACAGGGGCAATGTGTTGTTGAGATTTGCTGCTGATCCCACTAGAACCCCACTGTTGGTTTTCTTTCATCAAAAAAGGTAGCAAGTTAGAAAACAGGAGGATTGTTTCAGGCTGGCCTCCACTGGCTTTTGAGGAAATCTTGGTGTTCCTTGTGTACTTACTTACAAAGCAACTTGTACATTTTAGAAGTAGTTGCATGTCTACCCAGTTAGTTCATGACTAAGGCAAGTACTTGAATTTTATAGTTGTTGTGTTTTTATCCATTGCAGCGTAGTGTCAGCCTTATGCTACATCAGCATGAGAAAGTACATATGTGAACACAGCAGTGTTTAAAGGGGTTTCCCAAGAGACCAGTATTCTAGTAGGAGCAAAACCACAGAGCTCTTTCTCCGGAGCATGGTCACCCTCAAAAAATAAGAGAAGTGACAGGGCACAGTGAAATGCATCACTCCCAAATGTATAGGAAACACACTCAACTCACACACACATATACACAACACACACACAAAACAAGGAAAATTGTCTCCCTATGTATCCTTCCCCCCTGCTAGTTTCCAGCAGTAGCTGGCAGCTTTCTCCTTAGAATTGCTCAGTGCAGCCATTGAGCCCAAGATTATGATGATGGTGGCGGTGATGATCCTCGGAGACTACCTGGGTCAAGGGAAAAATGTGTATTGAGAGGGGTCTGTGCGTTGCCTTTGTATGCACCAACAGAGGCTCTGTATCTCTAAAATGGTATAAGAAGCATGAATCAATAGGAGATTTTTCTTACTTCATATGAAGAAAACTCAGGTTGGGCTGATTATTTTTTAAACACTGTTGGCATTGTCTTAGCAACCATGTTGTTGTTCTTCAGCACTCATCAAACAGCCACAGTTGACTAAATGCTCTGTAGATACTAGAAGATAAGGCAGTACTGGTTTGTACCTAAAGACATGAGACAAAAGAAAATGGAGCAAGCACACAAGGATGTACCCTGAAGTTAGTAGACCACAGGAATGCCATTTTGTCTTAGTCTTACCTAGGTTTTGTGGCTGTAAGAGTGACATCAAGTCTGGTTTACACTATACTGTATTTTAGAATTTTCAAAAGAAGAGGTAGTTTGTATAACTTGCTTAAAAGTTATTAGTTAGGGCATTTGTGTTTTCATTCTCTGTCTATCAGTAGGTCTTCCATGCCCTGTTCTGGGATTCCAGGATAAAGTTGAGACTCATTGGATAGTACCAGGTAGAACCTGTTAACCAGATTTATAGAAGTTTGAAAAAGAGATATGTCATGGGTTTGGGTCAAAAGACGTGGCAGCACCAGAAACTGTTTAAACATTTGTGACATTTCTTGGCTCCATGTCTTGATCTTGGGCTTGGTTTTCATAAATGAATCCTACATGAAGTACAAGCTTATGTACTCCCTCATCATTCACACATTAGGGGAGAGAAGTAAAAGCTTCCTGGTTAGAAACAAGGTGTATTTAACTTAGAAAAAGTAGTTCCTAAGAAATCAGGATCTCAAACTGGGGTAGGGGAAGCACATTAGCCCAGTGCTCAGGCAGATTGTTCATTCCACAATGCACCCTAGGCTAATATTTTAGCCTAGTCTATCCTGTATAATTACCCAGAGGATGGTCTTCTCTGTGGTGGTGCCCCGACTGTGGAATTCGCTCCCCAGAGAGGTTTGCCTTGCGCTGACATTATAAGTCTTTTGGGCACCAGGCAAAAACCTTTTTATTTGCCCATCATTTTAATATTTAATTATTTTAACTAGGTTTTAACATTATGTTCAGTTATGTTCTGTTATGCTTGTTATGTTATAATTTGTTGTACTTATTTACTGTTGTGATTTATTTACTGTTGTAAGCCATCTTGGGACATCTTGTAAAGAACAGGGTATATGTATTGTTAATAAATAAATAATGCCTGCTGTCATTAATTGTAATATTTTAAACACAAGCATTAGTGAAGAGTTAGACTGCAGTCCTGTACACCCTTACCTGGGAGTAAACCTAACTGATTTAATCTGAGGCTTGCTTCTGAATAAATATGCATAACATTATTTTTCCTTTTGGCATAATTCTATACAGTATCCGTAAGAAAATGTGGAATGCTTTTTCCTACATGCGTTACTGTTTATGACTTTCAAACAATTATAATGGATTATGTAATCTGTTTTCATATGATGTTTTTATACTTCTCAGTAGTTGACAACGATTTCAGGGTTAATAAGTTGCAACTTTTTACCACTCTTGAATATGCATACTGCTTTGCACAGCTTAAAAATATGACAAAGTTATTTTGAACTGAATCCCCTTTCCATGTTGAATTGCCCTTGGAAGGCCAAGTGATTCTCCATATCTCTATTTTTGGGGTAGTTATGCACTTGAGAGTGTTTCTTACTACATATCAGTGTGTGAAAATAGTTGGAAAATGACTTTTACTTCAGTATATAAAAAGTTTTGGTCTTCCAATTACACCAACAAGTAGCACTGATTTATGAAAATTTTTTCAAAGCCCTCAGACAGGTGAAGCTTGGATCTTGGCAAGAACTGGCTTAGGCTAGGGAATTGGAGTTTGGGAGCTTATTGTTTGTTCTTCCTCAACCTTGGTTTGAAAAAATGCATCATTCCAGGGAAACAGTTTAAATTAAACTGTTTTGCTCCCTATCTTTTAAAGCAAAAACACAAGTAAACATGTTTATATTAAATTACAACTTTTCTGCTGTTAGCCAAATTCCTAATATTCAGTTGAGTTTCTAGCTTCATTTTCTTGGTTGGACTCCAGTGTAGCCAGGTATGACCAAGAAAAATGGATCATGCAGAAGAGAGCCCAGAGAAAAACCTGCACCCCTGCCTTGCAGGATGGGCATCTGCCAAATAAGGGTGAGGATATGCTAATTCCCCAGGGAACAGCATAGGTAGGAAGCAAGCAAGGATGCTCTTCTTACTCTGTGGGGCACCCCCTACCACATGAACTTTGCTAATATGTATCTAGTGCTAATCTGAATAAAGAAGCTTCTAGTTATTCTTAAAATGTTGGTGTGAGTAATCTAGGCAGATTATTCAACATTCTAAAAGAGATGTAACAGAACTAGTCAGAATTAGTCAAGGGAGAGAGACTGAAACTCTACTGAAATGCTATTGATGTCCTGTTTTTGCATTGTATTTTGTCTCAACAGCTTGGGCCCTGTGTTTGCGCTTTTTGTACCATTTTATTGCTCCATTCCAAGAGTGCAAGTGACACAAATTCTAGGACAGTTTTCCATCACAAACAAGACACTGGTCTATATACTGGGTTTGCAGGTACAGTATGTATTGCTTTGTTTGCTCTTAATTTACTTAGAAGTACAGCACTTCCAATTTGCACACACTGTCTTCCAGAACACACTAATTTAGTATTCTAGATTCGTCATGGTCTCTGTGCATCACACATACATGAGTGCTGTGCCTGCACAGTGCCTGTTGTCGGGAAGATTTAAGAGCTTTAACGGTTTTTGGTGGGAACTGTGCAGTCCCTCCCCCCCGCCCCCCCCCAGTATAAATGGGCGGTGTGCTCGCTCCTTTGCCAGCCTGCTTGCAACCACCATTCACTGTGCCTCGGGCCTTGTTGTTTATTTCCTCATATTTTCGCAAACTACTTAGTTTACTCTTTTGAATAGTTCTAAACTTCTAACTTCGTCTGACCCCTTCTTGATCTAAAACTCTTTACCTGTTGTTCGCTACCCTTACCGAACCCCCACTTTATATCCTTTCTCCTTTCCCAACCCCCTTTCCAATAAATACATAAATAAACAAAGCCTTCTAATGTCTTAACCTTGAGCTATACCTCTCTGCTTACCACTGTACTTTCCTCCTCTTTCTCTTGATGGCACAGCGGGAGGCTTTCTGCAAGTGCGCTTAGTGTGGACCTAAGATGTCTCCCACTGACCCGCACACCCTATGTCTCCTCTGCCTAGGAGAGGAACATAGAACCGACAAGTGCAGGCACTACCAATCATTTACTAGGCAAGCTCGGAAAAACTGAGAAAATCAGTCTCGGCTGATACGGCTCCTCCGTGGCTCCAGGGTCTTCCAAAAGTGCCCCCTCTCGCCCATCCAAAGGGGACTCGGCCAGTCCTGATGGAAAGTGTTCCTCTCATTCTCCTCTGAGGAAACATAAGGAGAAGAAGAAGCATGTCGGGTCCGAGGAAGCTTCAAAACCTAAGCATCCTAAGAAGGACAGACATGATAAGACCGAGCATCAGCACAAAAAACACACTAAAGTGCCTCACTCTGAGCCGAGTGATTTGCCTGTCTTGGTACCGACCAAGCCACCCAGCCACCACTTGGTTATGCAGGTGAGACCTCCAGCGCCACCCCTGTGAATCCCCATCCCTCCGCATTCCAATCCTGAATGCTCGGATCTGTTGGCATGAGCTTCCATCTTGGATGGAGAAATCCATGAATCTCCACCTCAGTTGGGACTCGACCACCCACCTGCAAGATTGCCAACACCTACACCTGCTGGGCATTCATCTCCGGAGGGATCACCAAGGGCTCCTCAGTGCCTGTCCTCCCTCTTACCTCCACAACCTCCTGCACTGCAACCATCATGGTACTGGGAGCCTTTGTCCTATGGGGACTTCGATCCTGAGTGCTTTGACCAGCCTTATCTGTGGGATTTCTATCCCCCATACAGCTACTACCCACCATCTCCAATCCACAACTTAATCAGTGTCGAGGGGATAGCAACCCTATGGGCTCGCTACTGCTCTGAGGGTCTTTACAAAATGCATGGCTCCGGTCTGTGCCCATCTCAGGCTGCAGGGTATCCACATCTACCCTTACCTGGATGATTGGCTCATCATCTCCACCTCTAGAGAAGACCTATTGACTTCAATCAACATCACCTTTTCCCTGCTTGACCAGTTGGGTCTTTGTGTCAATACTGAGAAATCATGCCTCGTTCCCTCCCAGGTCATCAACTACATCAGAGCACACTTGGGCTCCCTTTGCACATGAGCCTTCCTACCTCCAGACTGACAAGAGACACTGATAGCCTCTGTACGATGGATTACCACTCAACAGACTGTCTCTGCACACTCCATTTAACAGGTGTTCATTCATATGGCATCCACAGTATTGGTGGTGCTGAATGCAAGACTGCAAATGCAGCCATTGCAGCTGTGGTTCAATTGCAACTTTCATCTGGACTGTGATTGACCGAACCAACTATTACAACCTCTGTATTCAGTCTTCCAAACTCTATCCTGGTGGACTAGCGATACTAACCTCTCTTGTAGAGTACCATTCTATACACCGGAACTGACTGTGATGCTCTATACCGATGCCTTCCAGACTGGATGGGATTCCCACTGCGTGTCTCTTCAGATTCAAGGCATGGACACAAGACCACCAGGCATATCCATTATCTGGAATTTCTGGTGGTCTTCAAGGCACTACGTTCCTTTCAGGCCACCCTACAGATTGCATTGGACAACATTGTGACTGTGTTCTACATAAATAAGCAGGGCAGAACGAGATTGGTCCTGTTAGTGTACCTCGCCCTCCATATGTGGAACTAGTGCATTGCCCACAGGATCACTCCTTGAGCAATTCATCTCACCAGCATGGACAACGAGGAAGCTGACTCCCTCATCAGGCACATGTCCACAAGTCACGAGTGGGAGTTGGATCGCCAAGTCTGTCACCATCTTTTCCAACTGTGGGGAACACCGACCACAGACCTGTTGGCAACACAGGACAACTCGGTCTGCAGGGCTTACTGCTCCAGAGTGGGCATCGGTCTGGATTCGACTGGGGACACGCTCATGATCTCCTGGGAGAATGAGTTCTTTTATGCATTCCCTCTAATTCCACTAATAACGAGTATAGCGAAGATCTGTCACAACAATGCTCACAGCGTTCTTATCACTCCTTGGTGGCCCCGACAGTCCTGGTTCTCCACTCTTCTCCAGCTGTCCAACAATGAGTTCTTACCTCTACCTCACATCCCTCACCTTCTCACTCAAGAACAAGGTGCTATAAGGCATCCAGACCTGCAATCCCTGAACCTCATTGCTTGACTCCACCACTGACTGCTTCTCCAACTTTATCTTCAGAACCGACTGCATCTTTGGTACCGACTATTGCCTCTGTTCATTCCATACTGACAACTCCTTCGGATCCTACAAAAGCACCTCCTTTGGGACCAATGTTCGTGTTCTCTACACTTGCTTCTATGAGATCAGAGACTTCTGTGTCACTGTTACTCTCAATACCAACGCCGGTGTTGATGACATCTTCAAATCTGACAGATCTTCACCTGGACATTCAGTTCATTCTCCAATTTGCACTACGATTGAACACACAAAGCTCCTACAATGCTAAATGGAAACATTTTACCTCCTTTGCCTCTACTAACCAATTTCTACCTCAATCTGCCACCATTGAGAACATTTTACAATTCCTACTCTCGTTATACCGTGGGGCTCTCACATCATTAAGGTGTATATCACAGCCATCTCGCATCATTGAGGATGCATTGGAGGGTCATCTGTATTCTCTCACCAACTTGATTCCTACAAGGATTACAAAACCTTCAACCTCTGATCTGATTGGCTGTCTTGACATGGAGCCTCTCTGTCATCTTGTAGGCTCTCACCAAACCTCTTTTTGAACCAATGGCTACTACTGATCTCTGCCCTCTCTCTTGGAAAACGACCTTCCTAGTTGCTATCACATTGGCAAGAAGAACTAGCAAACTGTGTGCTCTTCGTGTTGACCCTCCATACCTCAATTTCCTCAAGGAGAAAGTAGTCCTCTGTATTGACCCAGCCTTTCTACTGAAGGTTGTGACACCTTTTCACCTTAATCTCAGGACATTGTTCTTCCGGCTTATTTCCCTGCTCCAGCGACACCAGTTGAGCACTCTCTACACAGCCTTGACATCCGTAGATGTATGGCCTTCTATCGTTCCCAAACTGAGTCATTCAGGAAAACCAAACGGCTTTTTGTCAAATACTCAGAAGGGAGCACCTGTTAGCACTCAAAGTCTTTCGAAATGGATCGTTGAGACGATTGAACTGTCTTATCGCCTCTTCAAACTGGACTTAACTCTTACTCTGAAGGGACATTCCACAAAAGCAGTCGCCACTTCTTCTGCCCTCCATGTGGGCTTTCCACTACATATCTGCAAAGCAGCAACATGGTCCACCCCGTGTGCATTCACAAAGCACTACCATTTAGACATCAAGGCCAGACAGGACTGCTCCTTTGGCTGTGCCATCTTGTCCACAGTTCTTCAGTGATGATACTGTCCCACCTCCGGGTGTGGTAAGCTTGTTTGTCACCCATATATGTGTGATGCATGGAGACCATGACGAAGAAAGGCAGGTTGCTTACTTGTAACTGTCATTCTTTGAGTTGTCATCCGTGCATTCACACAATCCACCCACCGGCCCCACTTCGATGTTGGTGACTGGGTTCGCTGTATGTTTCTATGCTTCCTTATGGAGCAAAGTTCTATACTGGCCAGCTCCAGCTGGGGGCGAACAGATGGTCTTCAGCTGACTGGTGAAGGGGCGGGCACTCTGCCCATTTATACTGGGGAGGGGGGCACGGAGTTCCCACCAAAAAACATTAAAGCTCTTAAATCTTCCCAGCAACAGGCACCGCCCAGGCACAGCACCCATTTATGTGTGAATGTACGGATGACCACTCAAGGAACAACAGTTACAGGTAAGCAACCTGCCTTTTCCATTTAGTCCTAAAAACTAAAACAGATGTTTGAAATGGGTGCTTTTCCATAGATGCTACAATGCATGCTGCTAAAAGGCACTAATTTAGCAAAGGTGGCATCATATTAGTCACAGTAATCTAGGTATAGACATATTGTGAGATGGATAAAGAAGTTCTGTGATTGCTCATCCTTTCTCCAATGGGGAAGTCTGCTTTCTTCTTCATGGTGTCTGTGCAACACACACGAGTACTAGCACCTGCACAATTGGGGAAGATTCTTCTAGCTGAGTGCTTTTTTGGTGGGAGTTCTACTTCCCTTCTCCCAAGCACTTCTTTCACCTGCTTCTGTTCCCCTTCACACTCTTTACACTTGCCATGTTTCACCCACGCCCCTGGAAATCACTCCCTCATAATTTTTTTTAAAAAAGCTTCTGTTGTCTAACATTTCTTCTCTTCATCTGATATTACTCCTTATCCTCCTCTCTTCTTCGATGGCTCAGCGATCAGTCTTCTGTAAGTGTGCTAAGTGTGGGGTTAAAATGCCTTTGAAGGATGGCCACTCACTTTGCCTACTATGCCCAGGTGAGGGTCACTGTGTTGACAAGTGCCCTCATAGCCAGGCATTCACTAAGCAGGCCAGGAAAAACATGGAAGGACACCTAAAGAGGGAACTTTGGAATAGGGCTCTGGCAGCCATGCATGAGACCACTGCTGAAGGCTCAGGAGAAATAGGGTTTGAATGCGCCCCATTCGCTGTTAAACCTCCCTCAAGACACTCAGCTCGGCCTGCAAAACAGTCAGGCCCTGCTGATTATCGGAAAAAAAAAAGCAACGCGAAAAAGAGACATGTTGAGACAAAGGACCCGAAATGAAAAAAGCACTCCGGACAAGGCAAATCTGACAAAAAGTGGAAGTGTCATTCCTACTAACCAACTAACTAGATTAATTAATTAATTAATAATTTTAAGAGAACTTGTTTTAAATACTAGCATAACACTTAACTGGAATACAAATAATAAATAAAAGAGCAATGAATCTTGCTTGGTTTACTTCAGCTTGCTAATCTCAGAGTATACTCTCCAATTCTAGATTTGAGTGTAACCACCCATGACTTCAGCCTGACTCTAACAGAACCTTAGTTTTGCCTGGCTGGAAAAATATAGTGTGCATTCTGTAAAGTTCGTTATTTTGATTAATCATTTTCCTCTTACAGCTAAGATAATAACTGTTAACGCTAGGCTAGATAATTATCTTTGCATCAGTTTCTCTTGCTTTATTTTTCCTTCTTATCACAACAAGCAAGTGGGGCTGCTGTTAAACACTTCATCCTGATCTTTCAAGTATCTGTGAACAGTGAAAGATTATGCTAGATCATGAGGTTTTGACACTTTTCTTGCAGACCAAATAATTATTCAGTAGATGATGATGATGATGAAGAAGCAGCAATGAAGACACTGTAGTCAAAGCTCTCTGGGCAGTTCATAGCAATTTATAACAGATAATGGCATTCATTCAGATTCTGTGCTGGAATTCCTTAGAAATGACATTGCTCACAATATGCACAGTAATAGAAGATGTTGCTGGTCCTAAAAGTGTTACGCACTGAAAGGTCCAAAAAAGATCAAAGATATGTACCATGGTATTACATGTTTACAAAAGAAGTATGCAAAATTATAAGAAGGTCTTCCTGTGTACACTTTTAGCTGGACTGAAATATGTTAATTGTTGGTGGAAATTATCAGGTTTTTATTCATCTGTTCCATGTCCATTTTGGGGAGACAGAGGGAGAAATGAATATGTCAGTATCAGATTATTACTCATGCCTGCTTCTTCTGTACTATTTACTCTGTTTGAGATTTTGCTCTTTAATACTCCTACCGTTGATTTATGCATCTCATTATGCCTAATCTTTTTGCAGCTTAATGTCTGCTTTCCTGTTCTCTCAGTTTAAAAAATAATTCCCCTTTGTGTTAAAATAATAGAGAGGGAAATGAAGTCCTTTCACAGTGTTTTTAAAAACTAATTTCTAAGCTGAGTGCCGTTATAAATTACTTCTTTTTGTCTGTTTATCTTAAAAAGATTTGCTTTAAAGAGCAGTCTTATGACCCCTAGACTGTGTCCAGATGGCCATGAAATTGTTTAGATTCCCAGCTCCAATGTTGGAAAAGCACTCCAACCTTAGAGCTGAAGATCCTTGCTTAGACCACCCCCCCCCCCACACACACACACAGCTTCCACCATGCAGCCCATGTGGGAAAAACTATGCTGGCTACTTCCCCATAGTCACAAAAGTGACCTTGGAGAAGAGGTTTAATGGGCATGGAAATAGGGGAAGAACAATGCAATCAAGATATGATCTATCCTGACTGCACTGAAGTCTCCTTCCCTGCTCCTCAAAAACAGTGCAGTAGGACAGCCAAAATCAACCAACTGCTTGTTTTGCAGTATGTGAGAACATGGAGATAATAGCATCTATGATGTTCCCACTCTTCCAAGTTTGGCGGGTTGTGGGCATTTTTGTGCTCTTAATTGCTTAATTAGATAGGTAATTAAGAAAGAAAAGTAATGTTCATTCTGACATGTGGAAGTCTGCTTCCATTAGATTCTGGAGAAGAAATTGGGTCAGATCCAGTTACATTTTACTTGAAGATATCAGCAAATTAATATAATGTGCTTTTCAACCATATTGTTTCCAATTTGTTCCATATCTGAGTGAACCCAGTCCACCCAATCAATATAAAGCTATGTTATGAAACCATTTTCCTTGAAATTATGAATCTTGTCAATGCGAGGTTTTCTCTGTGATTGTGCTCCACATTTGTTGCTTGCTTCACTACCCCTCTGTTTGAATCAGTTTTTCTGCTTCCACAGATCTACTTTTCATGATATCTGTTACTTTATTGTTTGTATAAGATAGCAATAGTCAGTTAAGGATTATGCAGTTTAAATTATATTTAAGTTAAACACTTTTGTCTTGTAGCTTTTAACTTCTGGATCTTACATCTGGATTGTAGCTTTAAGTGGCCTGGTAAGTATAATTATTTTATTATTTCTTTGATTTTTTTCAGTAAGTTACTGCATTTGCTTCTTTCTTGTTTAATATTTACCTGCATATACATTTTCTTTAATATTTACAGCCTTTGCTAAATACAAGCCACATATGTTCAGTGTATAAGCCTGCCAACACCCCATATTTACTCCACACCTCGGTAAATATGCCTTTGCTTATCATTTGTTGGGTGCACAGTCCCTTCAAAGTTTTGATTTAACAGTATTTGGAATACAGAAATGCTTGTACAAAGATGTTAAAAATGTTTCTCAGTCTTTCCAGATAATATATTATTCATGGAGCATTAACACTAATCCTAATTCACTTTCAGTAGAAGCTATTATTATCATTATCACCACCAACAACACACTGCCTTTATATCCTGCCTTTCTTCTTCCTGCAAGGAACCCAGGGTGGTTTACAAGGTTCTTCCCCTCTCCTTTTTATCCTCACAACAGCAACCCTGTGAGGTAGGTTATTCCAAGAGACAGCAACTGGCCCAAAGTGACTCAGTGAGCTTCATGGCTGAGAGGGGACTAGAAGCCAGAACTCCTGCATCCCAGCCCAGTACTCTTAACTGCTGCACAACACTATCCTAGGTAATGTTGGTGGGGATAGCCACATGCAGGGCATTGTGGTGATATCCTTTTTAAGTCTGTATCATTGCATGTAGAAGGAGCTGAGAGCAAGACAATACACATATCCACCTGAACAGGAGGAGAAATTAATGAAATGTTAGGGTATAATTCCTCCCGATTGTTCCAGATGCTCAGTTTATGAAGATATTTTTGGGTAGTCCTTCCATAATATAAAGCCCTTTTTACTCTTCTATTTGTGTAAATGTTGCTAACTTGGCTCACCACTATGATACAATTATAATTAAAACTCCAGATCTATGGCTGAAGGAGAAGGCACAGTTCCTTCCTAAATGCAAGTTTTTAACAAGAAAAGGTGAGCATATAGTTCATTGTATGACAATCATTTTCCAACTCTCTTGTCAATTTAATTTGGAAATGAGACTTAATTTCTTCCCCTCTTTACTTCCCCTTGCAAGTTATATAAAGAGTTCTTTAAATTCACATACGTAATTTATACGCATCAGTAAACGCAAACAGCTCTCCAAAAATAGATTCTCTACTTGGCTCTAGTCAAAACTTTAGCAGTTGCTGTTTGGATCAACTGAAATGTCTAGCTGTGTTTCAAGGGCAGCTGCATATACAGTACACTCCAGTTGTTTAATCTGGAAGTTCCTAAAACATGAATGACCATTTCTGGGTCTGTCTTTTCTAAGAAGGGTGCACCAGTTTAAATACATCAAAAGCACTGCTACCAGTGCCTCTCCCTGCATGGGCAAAAGTAGCGCTAAGTCAAAAAACATTCCTAAGTTTCAAACCTGAGAATCCATGGATCCCCTGACCAAGAGGATTTCTGTCTTCTGGACTGAGTTGCAGTTTATTCACCCATGTCTTACTGCTGCAGACAATGATTCAGCTTTCCACTGTCTCCTGAGGATCTAATAAAGGGAGAGTTGATTGTCACCAACTTATTTTTGACACTTCAGGTCAGATCTGTAGCTGACATTTCATATAAATGCTAGACAAGATTGGTGGGTCAGGTCAGAGGTTGAGCCTGGTTTTCATGATTGTAGTGGGGTGGCTTATTTCCCTCAGCACACCAGGAGGTGTGGCTTGCAAGGTCTTGCAAATCCAGTGAAGGTTACTTGTTGTCATGGTTAACAAGCTACTCTGCAACAGCCACGGTTCACATGGCACAGTAAAGTGCCCTGACAAGGGCAATTATGGAAATACCCTTGGCACACAACCAGAATATGTGATGGGGAAAGTAAGCCATCCCAGCTTATTTTTTCCACCATGATCATGAACTGGGCTGTTGTCTCAGTCCTGTTTTCTGGAACCTGCTCTCTAGGAATGATATCACTTCATTGTAAGGAGTTTGCTTATTTTTCCAAACAATAACTTTAACATGGATTTAGGGCAATTTTAATTAAGATATTGTATCTAAAACTTCTCCTTCATGGATCACTGCCTTGTCGTGGCGAAGGGGCTTGCGTAGCTCAATGAAGCTATGAGCTATGCCGTGCAGGGTCACCCAAGACGGACAGGTCATAGCAGAGAGCTCTGACAAAACGTGATCCACTGGAAAAGGAAATGGCAACCCACTCCAGTATCTTTGCCATGAAAACCCCATGGACAGTACCGAAAGGCAAAAAGATATGATGCCGGAAGATGAGCTCCTCAGGTCAGAAGGTGTCCATTATGCTACTGGGGCAGAGCAGAGGGCTAGTACCAGTAGCGCCAGAAAGAATGAAGTGACTGGGTCAAAGCCGAAAGGACACTCAGTTGCTGATGTATCTGGTAGTGAAAGGAGAGTCCGATGCTGCAAAGATCTATACTCCATAGGAACCTGGAATGTAAGATCCATGAATCAAGGCAAGCTGGATGTGGTCAAACAAGAGATGACAAGACTGAACATCGACATCTTAGGAATCAGTAGACTAAAATGGGCAGGAATGGGTGAATTTAATTCAGATGACCCTCAGGTATACTACTGCGGGCAAGAATCCCTTAGAAGAAATGGAGTAGCCTTCATAGTCAATAAAAGAGTAGGAAAAGCAGTACTGGGATACAATCTCCAAAATGACAGAATGATCTCAGTTTGAATCCAAGGCAAACCATTCAACATCACAATAGTCAAAGTCTATGCCCCAACCACTGGTGCTGAAGAGGCTGAAGTTGACCAGTTCTATGAAGGCCTACAACACCTTCTAGAATTAACTCCAAAAAATGATGTCCTTATCATCATGGGGTATTGGGATGCTAAAGTAGGAAGCCAAAAGATAACCGGATTAACAGGCAAGTTTGGCCTTGGAGTACAAAATGAAGCAGGGCACAGGCTGGTAGAATTTTGTCAAGAGAATACGATGGTCATAGCAAACACTCTTTTCCAACAACCCAAGAGACGACTCCACACATGGACATCACCAGATGGTCAACACAGAACTCAGATTGACTATGTGCTCTGCAGCCAAAGATGGAGAAGCTCTATACAGTCAGTAAAAACTAGACCAGGAGCTGACTGTGGCTCAGATCATGCGCTTCTCGTTGCAAAATTTAGGCTTAAGTTGAAGAAAGTAGGGAAAAGCACTAGGCCACTCAGGTATGACCTAAATCATATCCCTGATGAATATACAGTAGAGGTGACAAATAGATTTAAGGAATTAGATCTGATAGACAGAGTGCCTGAAGAACTATGGATGGAGGTTCGCAACATTGTACAAGAGGCAGCAACTAAAACCATCGCAAAGAAAAAGAAATGCAAGAAAGCAAAATGGCTGTCTGAGGAAGCTTTACAAATAGCTGAGGAAAGAAGGGAAGCGAAAGGCAAGGGAGAAAGAGAAAGATTCAAACAATTGGATGCAGAATTCCAGAGAACAGCTAGAAGAGATAAGAATGCCTTCTTAAATGAACAGTGCAAAGAAATAGAAGAAAACAATAGAATAAGGAGGACCAGAGAACTCTTCAAGAAAATTGGAGATATGAAGGGAACATTTCATGCAAAGAAGGGCATGATAAAGGACCAAAATGGCAGGGACCTAACAGAGGCAGAAGAGATTAAGAAGAGGTGGCAAGATTACACAGAAGAACTACACAAGAAAGAGCTTACCGTCCCTGATAACCACGATGGGATGGTCACTGACCTCGAGCCAGACATCCTGGAATGTGAAGTCAAATGGGCCTTAGGAAGTCTGAGCGACAACAAAGCTAGTGGAGGAGATAGAATTCCAGCTGAGCTATTCAAAATCCTAAAAGACGATGCAGTAAAAGTGCTACACTCAATATGCCAGCAAATTTGGAAAACTCAGCAGTGGCCACAGGATTGGAAAAGGTCAGTTTACATTGCGGTCCCAAAGAAGGGCAATGCCAAAGAATGTTCAAACTACCACACCATTGCACTCATTTCACATGCTAGCAAAGTTATGCTCAAAATCCTACAAGCTAGGCTCCGGCAGTATGTGGACCGAGAACTACCAGAAGTACAGGCAGGATTTCGAAGAGGGAGAGGAAGTAGAGATCAAATTGCCAACATACGCTGGATCATGGAGAAAGCTAGGGAGTTCCACGAGTTCGGCAAGGCTGTATACTGTCGCCCTGCCTATTTAACTTATATGCAGAGCACATCATGAGAAAGGCGGGGCTAGATGAATCACCAGTTGGAATTAAGATTGCTGGGAGAAATATCAACAACCTCAGATATGCAGATGATACCACTCTCATGGCAGAAAGTGAAGAGGAACTAAAGAGCCTCTTGATGCGGGTGAAGGAAGAGAGTGCAAAAGTTGGCTTGAAACTCAACATTAAGAAAACTAAGATCATGGCATCCGGTCCTCTCACTTCCTGGCAAATAGATGGGGAAGAAATGGAGGTAGTGACAGATTTTATTTTCCTGGGCTCCAAGATCACTGCAGAAGGGGACTGCAGCCAAGAAATTAAAAGGCACTTGCTCCTGGGGAGGAAAGCTATGGCAAATCTAGACAGCATACTAAAAAGCAGAGACATCACCCTGTCAACAAAAGTGCATATACTCAAGGCTATCGTTTTCCCAGTTGTAATGTATGGCTGTGAAAGCTGGACCGTAAGGAAGGCTGAGCGCAAAAGGATTGAGGCCTTTGAATTGTGGTGCTGGAGGAGACTCCTGCGAGTCCCTTGGACCGCAAGGCTATCAAACCGGTCAGTCCTAGAGGAGATCAACCCTGACTGCGCTTTAGAAGGCCAGATCCTGAAGATGAAACTCAAATACTTTGGCCACCTAATGAGAAGGAAGGACTCCCTGGAGAAGAGTCTAATGCTGGGAACAATAGATGGGAAAAGAAGAAGGGGATGGCAGAGGATGAGGTGGCTAGATGGCGTCACTGTGGCAGTTGGTGTGAGCTTGGGTGGACTCTGGGAGATGGTGGAGGA